CCCCCCCCCCCCGCTGTTACCCCGGCCGCTCTCGCGGCAGCCGCTGCAGTCAGCTCCGCTGCCTCGGTTGACCCCGTCGGGCCAGATGCATGTGCCCTGCTGGCACGGGTCCGCTCTCGGGGTTCCCTGCGGGCTTCCCCCGCCTCCTCCCTGGCCCTGCTTCCGGGGACGCCTTTTATCTCAGCCGGGCGGCATCTCCCAGCCCCAGCTGGATATAAGCGCTGGTGGTCTCCCCGCACGCGTGTCCCTACTCGCTCCGGCCTCTGTGTGGGGTAAGTAGGTGGTTACTCCCCCCCATGGTCCGGCCCCGGGGTACCCTTCTAACCCCCGCGTCCCTGGGACACACACCAAAAAAGCTGTGATATACAGCCAAGCCCTCAGATACCACCGCATTTGCACTGAAGAGAACACCCAGGATTGCCACCTCACCAATATTAAAAAGGCTTTCACCCAACAAGGACACCCTTCCAGAGAGAGAGAGCGCACTTTTGAAAGAGCCACCTGGATACCACATGAAGAACTGCTGCAGTACAGAAGAAAAAACCCCACACGAATTCAGAGACAGAGCTAGTGGAGGTGGGGCCTACAGCCAAAATCTATGGCACAGAGCCCTGTTGGCAATGCATGTCACCTGTGGGTGGCAAGCAACAGCTGTACTAGCCCCTGTGACTGCCACTCGCACCATTGTTGCCACTGCATACTCCATCACTGCTGCTTGGTGAGAAACTCCAAGGTCAAAAATCCAGCCCTGAGTAAGTTTGACACCCCTGGCATAGAGTAATGGGATCTAGTGAGAATGAAGCTGTTTAAGAGAGCAACTTTTCATAACCATGGGACTATTTGAGCTGTTGAAATTCACGTACATAATGAACTGAAGATGCCTGGTATGCAGCTACCTTCCCCCCAAAGACCTTACTGTCCGTTGACTCAAGCCTGCAAGATATTGAACATTTACTACTCCCACTGGAAGAAGTGGGATTGGATTAAAAGGCAGGGGGGTTACCCAAGAATGAGTTGTTTCCTCCAGATGTAAGTATAATATTGCAGAAGGAATAAAGCTGAGGAGAGGAGGAGTGAAAGGATCGTAAGGGAGGGGGGTAGAATTGGACCAGAGGTGAAGTATTACACAGATATCAATTATATGAATCTCTGTGCCACCCTGTGGGGAAAGTTAGTTAAATTACATGTAGGTGTAACCCAGGTGGGATGGGACAAGTAGGCCAGCGATGGGGGAGGGGACATGCTGTGAGAGGGATGCCAGACTTTTGAGCAGATCCTCTTTCCTCTATAGAGTTAGCCCAAGCCCAAAGTTCTTAACTATATACAGTTTATTGAATTACCGACATACATATATAAAATTCTTTAAAATAGATCTAATTGGAGGTATAAATACAAATATACATATAAAGGTCTCCTAGCTGCAGGAAGTCAGCCCTAGGGAGGGATTCGGGTAAGTACCTGTGCCTCAGACCCAGAAGGGGGGTGGATCCCAGGACAGTCAATCCAGCAAGTTTATACCACTAGTGGGTTAGCTAATAAAGACATCCTTACAGAGCCCATTATACAGAATTAATACGTCCAACTATTTATAACACCAACAATAACAATAGATACTGAATAGGAAACATAACTATACCAGATATTAGACACCCTACCTGGGTTCCAACCACTTGGTCCCTCAAATGGGATAGGGTCTTCTCCCCCTAGGCTCACTCCCCCCAGGGTCCCTTGCCCAGGGACGCCTCCCCTGCAGGACCAAGGTTCCCAGTAATTCATGGTCCTTCCTCTGGGGCTGTTGATCTGGCCTCTGGGTCTGCACACCATCTCAGGCCTCCTGGAGCTGTTGGCCTCGAGTTGAGGGTTCTTCCCTCTGGGCCCTGTGCCCCCACGTTGGGCACCCAGGGAGCTCCTATGGGAGCTGAGTCCTCACTGGCTCTGGTTCCCCAGCCTCACGCCAGGGGTCTTTCCCCTTCCCGGACCCTGCTCTGGGCACTAGGGTTCTTTTAGTTTAATGCTGAGCCACACTGGGGCTCTGGTTAGCCCTGGCTCTAGGCCAGATAACTTGAGCAGCCTTGAGCTGCTCTCAGGGCCGACTCTCTATGTGCCAACTGCACTGTATGGGGCCTAAGCAGTGTTGAGCTGCTCCCAAGGCCAGCTGTGTGTGCTGATCTGCACACTGACTACCCAGCCACTTGCTGGGTTCGCAGGCTCAAGCTGCCTTGAGCAGCTCCTCGTGCCTGATCCCTGTGCACCGATTTGCACACCGCTAAAGCTCAAGCAGGGTCCCAAGGATGGCAATCTCTGGAGCTTCTCTCTCCCCGCCATCCCTCATTGTCTCTCCAGCTTGCTGAGCATGCTTCCCCTTTATACCCTTCAGGGGCTCCATCCCCAAAGTTCTCCGGACCTGACTGGTACAGTTCCAATTCAGGTCCAGCTGCTCCTTGCCCCCTCCCTTTGGAAAAGGGTGGGGCATTGCTTCCCTTGTGCTGCCTCTGGACTGGTGGGCAGGCTCCACCAATCAAACAGCAGACCCTTGATCCTGGGCCTCAACCCAAGCTCGGAAACGGTAAGCCTGCTACATGGGTAAACAAACATGGGTATTGGCGATCTCCCCAAGGAGTTGTAATCTGGCATGGGCCTAGCTGAGAATACAAACCAGCCATCTGACCAGTAAGAGCCTGTTATAACCATTTGACCACTCTCTGTGATGATTCATTTCCTGAAAAATATTCTCTGATAACCAATTCTTAACATACTTGCTTTGGCTGGTTGACAACACAGCAATATTGATGAATAATAGAATTGAACCAACCATCAAACAAATGATTTATCTGTAATCTTCACTCAACCAGCTGTACAAAACCCAAAGCAGCAAATTTTACTGTTTGATGGGTTTCAGTTCAGTGCCAAAACTGCTGCTTACGTTGGGTTTTTAGCACAGTTCAGATCTCCACCTGCTATAAATAAAAGGCAGGATTTGTAGACAAATGAGGGCAAATCAGAAGCAGCCTTGTGGGGCTGATGCACATAGATCATAAGCAGCCATGGAAAATCCTTACTGCAAGAAAGCTTTATGTTATTTTTGTTGCTAGGGTAGCAAACAGAAATGACGCAATGAATTAAATTCTGTTTCACCTTGTTCCATTTTCTAGCAAGAGTAAGTATAAAACATTTTGTGTTAGGATTAGATCAAGAATCAACTGAAGTGAAAAAGGAAGCTGTTCCTACAGAACTAAAAAATTTGAGTTACAATTTTATTTGTAATAAACATGTACAGCCTTAACAAATGCAGCTGCAAACTTGTCAGATCTAATCAGCTGAACAGTACTGAAGAGTTTCAGCCCTTGGATATTAGAGCTCTAGGAGCACAGGTGTTGACTTAGGAAGTGGCACTCCACTTAGGGAAGGGCAGTCCAGTCGGTGGTCTGTGTACTGCATGTGGCCCCTGAAGGGTTAAACTGTGCTCTCCAGGCTTGCAGTCTGGGTGCTCTTCTTACTGCTGCCACCGGAGTCCTTGGGCTCCCCCTGGTTCTTCCACCTTCTGTTGCCTGTCCCCACCTGTGGGCCAAAGTGTAGCAGTGCAGCCTGTGGGATCCAGGAACCTGTGCCATGGAGCTGGTCCTATGTGCATGGACACTACACAGCCCATGCACCCCTCCATCATGTGACATCCTACTCCCTCCCTGCCCACTGGGGACACTGTAAAAAGAATCTCTTTGGAGGTGGGATGAAGGGAGCAGCTGCACCAGAGCTTTTCTTCAGCTGGCTCCACTGCTTGTAAAGTGCTCGTTGCAATTTTTTTATTTTTACTTTTCCTCTGTGAAGGTGAGGCAGGGAAAGCCCCTGCCCTGTGGGCTGCAGGAGGTGGCACTGGCAGAGGGGCTCCTCTTTGAACTCATCTGGCTGCGCAGCCAATCAGCACATGCGCAGTTGGGCAAAAGCATCACAGACAGACAGACTAAGGCTTTTCTTATATTAGAATGCTAAAGTATTTGGTTGCTGATATTTGCAATTTCATCCGAAGTCCTGTGATACATGACATTAATCTTAAGGCCCAAGCTCTTGGAATCACATGATTAAAACAAAAAATTATAGGTGAAATAGTAGTGCAGAATTTCTTAGTTGCAGTTTAAATACTGAAAATGTGAGCCGAATGTATTCCAACAGCTCAGCACATAGGCGGCCAATTTGTTTCTTACTAATCAGGAGGAATTGGTTGAAAATCTGAAAGTAAGAGGCAACTTGCTTGAGAGTGATCCCAAGGAAAAGAAGAAAGGAGAGCAGCAAAATAAGAAATGTTGGACTTCACAAAAGCAGCTTTCAACAAACTCATAGAACTGGTAGACAGAATGATGTAGAAGGTAAATCTAAAGTGAAAAATGTTGTTTGGCACAATTGGCTATTCCTTAAAAACAACATATTAAGGCACAAGAGCATGTTATCCTGATGCAAGAGAAGAAGTGCAAGCACAGCAAGAGACTGGTGTGGCTAAACCATGAATTATTCAATGTCTTGCAATTTAGAAAGCTGTCTTTCAAAAAGTGTAGTCAGCCATATTAGTGTGGATGTGTACAAGACTATGGAAAGATATAACAAAACACTGTTTTTAAAAAAGGCAGGAGGAAAGCTGACCACTTGGGAATGTGTCAGCTGAACCAATTATTTGATTTGTCTACTTCTATATAGGTATGCTGTAGCTAGGATACTTTAATTTTAAACCTGAATGAAACAGGTTTAAAGATGCAACTGTTTAACTTGCACTTACAGTAGAATAGAGCAGGCAGATAAAGTGCAGAGGATCAGCTGTAAAGTGCTATGATTTTAAAGAGTGTTATTTCTCCATCCATCTGTAAAAGTACAGATGTAAGAGTACAGTAAGAGCATACAGGGACAAAATGAGAGGTTGTCATGAACTAACATACAGCTAGCAAAGGTCACTAAAATTTTATTTAATGTATGCAGTTTTAGCAAAGGTCATAAACAAGTCATAAAAACATTCTATGAATGTTAGAAGTAGGAGAAAAATGCAGATGATGGGGAAAGGAAGCTAATATTGGAGATAGTGGGGAGAGCTGAAATGTTTAACACCTCTCATTTTCAGTTGTTACCAGAAGGACCAACTGTCAGATGACAGCAAGGACGGGGGGCGGTAGATACTCAAATTTCTCAACAGCTCTGCTCCCACATTGCACCACCGCCGGCCTCCCAGCACACCCATGGCTTTTCCTGGGGCTTGGGTGTAGGTGAGGCGTTCAGCCGGGGCTGCACCGAACAACAGTGAGGGTCTGGGAGCGGAGCTGCGGTGAACTACGGGGTGGCTGCAGCCTCCTCTCCGCGCCGCCGGAGCCCACTCCAAGCCCAGCCCCCGGCAAGAAAAGGCACGCACAGCTCCGGCTCCACCCCGCAGCTGCAGCCCGCCTCACGCCACACGGGTCTGGGGCACTTCCCCCGCCCTCCTGGGGTGCAAACAGCGGTG